CCCCCCCCCCCCCCCACAGACAGGGACAGAGAAATTAATTAATTAGTTAGCTGATTAATTAATTAATTAATTAATTTCTCTATCCCGGTCTGTGATGGTTACTGAAGTCTCTCTGTCACGATCTATGATGGCTTTTGAAGGCTCTGTCACAGTCTGTTACGGTCTCTGAATTCTCTGTAACTGTCTGTGATTGGCTCTAGAAATTTCATACACCATAATACAGATACAGACCGTGGCAGAGAACCTCCACAGACCGTCACAGACTGTGGTAGACGGATTCCAGAAAACGAGCTTTATCGTGTTTCACATTTTTAATCCCACAGGGATTGCGCTAACAGTTTTTCTAACCAAGTTACTTCCTTCCGCCCGGAAAACCCCTTTTACTGCTAAAAAATAAGACAAAACACTGAAAACACAAATAAAATCTGTCGGGATTCGCTCAACGACTGGTTCCAACCAAACCGACGCTGGCACCAAGTAGAACTCGACGAGCTCTACTTAATGGCCACTTTCCGAGTGCGATTAAGTGTTTCTAATCCACAGAACTCGACTGGCTACCGCCTGAAACATCCGGCTTTGTTGGTACAACCCATCGGGATGCCATCAACGACTGGCTCCCCATGCTTAAATGAGTCGGAACAAACGAATTTTGAAGTCATTTTTGTTGGAATTGTCACGTTTCGCCTCGGAATAGTTTCGAATCGAACAATCGTGCCGTTATGTCTAATTGATAATTCTTTGGAGAGATGCTGGGAATGTCCTACGAGCTACCTGACGTGAAGGTAATAACCGCTTCTAATGAGTTGATTTACATGCGATTTGATTGATGAAAAGAAGCACGTTAAACAATCTGGTGATTAGATTCTTTTGCGCTTCGATTTAGTTCTAATTGTATCCCTCAGATAATGACTTTTTTAACATTCGCCTTAACAGTCCTCACTCCTATTCTTATCTTGAATGGTGAAGGAACCGAAAAAATGATCCTAGTTTTTATGTGCACTACAATTGAGTGCATCGGATGTATTGACAATCAATGCGCGACACCTTTGTAGCGAAGCAGTAGTCGTGAAGGATGAACAGCAACTAGTAGTTGTCTTCATTCTGTCTATCGATATATAATAGAAGACCAATCTCATTTTTGTTTCGTTTTGTGGTTGTATACAACACGCGCGTGCACTTTGCAACTAGTATTATTCTCTTCCAATCTCTTCCGCCCATAGGACGAAGCGAATGAACAGTAACTAATTTTTCTTGATCACTGACGCTGGAGTGCGACTAGCATCAATATATTTTATAACTAGCTATCCTAAAATTAAAAAACTCGAGAGGTTTTCAAAATTTGAAAAGCATGTTGAATATCTTTGTAACTATCCGACCGATGAAGTCTTTGACAATAATAGATAAAAACCAATGAAATAAGAAAGCTATCGTACATACGCTGAACTGCATAAATTTACATTATGCAAGTGTTAGCATAAAACTGCTACGGAATTCCTATTTTATAGAGGGAAAAAATTTATCTACGCTATTTTCGTAGTGCATTCAGGTAACGCTTGGTAAAGCGACGGCAAAGGAAACTTCGACTCATTTTTTTAAACCAGGCGCTTCCGCACCAGTTAAAGATCTGTGTATTCGATTAAACACATCACAATGCATATTGATATGTTGTGTTTCAGTTAGAAACTACTTCTGGCCGAATCCCGACGGGTTCGTAGGTACAGAATCCGGCATTTTGCACGTAATTAATGGATCTTCGCTGAGCGGAAGCACCTAATCGCATTCGCAAGGTGATCAATGAGTAGACCTCGTCGAGTTCTACTTGGAGCCAGCGTCGGTTTTGTTGGAACCAGTCGTTGAGCGAATCCCGACTGGTTTGTAGGTGCAGAAACCAGCTTTTTTTAGGTAATTAGCCGATTTTGGTGAAATGCAAGCACTTAATTGCATTCTGAGGGTGACCATTGAATAGAGCTCGTCGAGTTCTACTTGGTGCCAGCGTCGGTTTTGTTGGAACCAGTCGTTGAGCGAATCCCGACAGATTTTATTTGTGTTTTCAGTGTTTTGTCTTATTTTTTAGCAGTAAAAGGGGTTTTCCTGACGGAAGGAAGTAACTTGGTTAGAAAGAAAACATTTCAGTGGATAGAGCTCGTCGAGATCTACTTGGAGCCAACAACTCCTTGGTTGGAGCCAGCTTCACGGCGAATATTTTCAAGAAATACTCGAATCCTGACCTAAGATATCCTACGTTTTTTAAAACAGCATCTAATACATTAAATTAATCCATCATTGATAACAAAATCAGATCCACCAGTTCAACTATTTTTGGTACAATAATCGAAATATGTCTATACAAATAATTTTTTTATTGTCTCCTATGAAAATTTCTTTAAATATTCGTCGAATTGAATACAGAGTGAACTATTGCTGTATAGTACATAGAATGATGAAACAAAAATATGAAAGTTAATAAAATGAATTTTGTTTTTATCAAACTTTTCTATACGGAAAACTAACAAATTATATGTTGTTTGATTCATTTTTACACGTGAATTCCGAATATGTTATTATCCATGTGAAACAACTGAAAAAAATAAACAATTTCAGGTATTATTTATATTAATAAAATAAAATAAATCAAATTTTATATTATATTCTTCAGTTTTAAGAGTACTTATCATTTACATAAAGTATATTTTAATAATTTTGATAATTTGAGTTTGAGAACTATTAAAACTGATTATGTTTATATTAAAAATATGTGAAGAATGTCGAAATATTCTAATTCAAGAAAGATAAAATTACACAATAGTTAACTTAATTGAGTAACTAAAAGTATGACTGCAGAAATTCTAAAATTAATTTTTATTACTTGAAAAATACTAAAATTATTATGTTTATTAGATTAATAACTTTATTTATCGTTGCTTTCTATCGAAAACATAAAGTAAATATGTTTTAAATTTTCATATAAAATATCTTCAAAGAATATCATATATTTATTCATGTATATACGAACTAACTTAAATTTCAACTATAGTTTGAGAAAACGAAAGCAACCGATTTTGAAGTAATTACATTAATTCCATGTATCAGCATCGAACAAAATTAAAATCAAGATATGAATTACTTTTCAATAGTTGAGTTATTTTATTTATTAAAATAACTTGTTTTTCTTAACTTTAAACAAATTAGTTAAGTTAGCTATTATCCATTTAAAGATAAAGAGTACTTCGATACTCTCTAAAATTCTTA